AATTTTTAAATAAAGATGTAATCTCAAACAAGGTAAATTAACCTTTTCTAAAACTACTGGAGCAATGTGTTTCAACAATCTGAAGGGTTTTCAAAATCTTTTTGAAAAATGAAAACTCGTTTGAAAAATGAATAGTGAATAAAAACAACAGCAGCCTGGTAGTGTACTGTAGTGCTCTGTGTGTGCATAGTAAACGCATGTGTTTGCTGCTGACTGAGTATCCTGGTCACTTCAGTGCAACTGGAAAATCAACTGTTTGCCAAAAAACTAATTATGTATGATTTTCCTAAAACATATTTATATTTTGTTATATTATGTATGCTTTTCCTAAAGCATCTGTCTGTCCTGATTAACAAGTGGCACAGTTAGCCACCTAGTCATGTTACACAGTTAAATCCATTCTGTTTTCAAAGTCTTTTCCTCTATTTCTGTACCTATTTTCACAATCCAGCAGTCCAGTCTGTGAGGCATCCTGGAAAGCAGTTGCAGCATGTATACAGATAATTTATGTGGGAATAAATACATTCTGTATTGCATGCATAATAGGGTTTTTATCTCTCTGGGATGGTCACGGACTGCAGTGTGTGCAAGCTTGACAATCTTACCTTTCTCAACAATTGCTTTGATTTCTACAAGGGAAAAAGAAAAAAAGAAAAAAGAAAAAAGGAAAAAAAAAAGTTATATAAAGTTTCCAGACAGCTCTGGTACCTTGTAAGTATTTTAACTAGTCTACACCTTTCATATGATAGGCTTTGCAAATGGTTTTGTGAAGCAGTGTTTTAGTTAATAGTAATTAATTCAAATGTTGAGACAGACAGATCCAATATTATATGATCACCGCTTGAATCATTTCTTCTCTCAAAGTCAAGCAGGAGAGGGCAGCGTGTCCTGCAGAACAGCACATCTGGGCTGGTACAGACCCGGTGGGGACAGGAAAATTGTCTTACATCCTTGTCCTCCATTTTAAGTTGAGTCATCCCCATGGTGAACAGATGTCACTGGGTGAGAAGTGATACTTTTATGCATCTGATTTCAATGCAAAGATTCTCCCACAGTTACCTGACACAGTAAATCCCATGATTTACAAGCCAAGAACAACCTTGAATTTTTGTATATATGGGCTTCTGCAGCTTTGCAGGATGGAAAAGAAATACAGAAATATCTACAGAAAAAACATCCAGTAAATTAAAATCAGTTAAAGGTGGGCCACTAAAGCCTTTTTTTCAGGTGATTCATTCTAGAAACCACAGGAGAAGCTGAGAGTTGTCCTAGCTGTTATAAACTTCACACTTCCCAGGGCCTAGACATGCAGTTTTAGAGAAACGAATAATGGCTTACAATCATTCATGGTTATTCTTGTAGGATATCCCAAGCCCTACTTATTCAAACAAGGTGTAGTGAGTAAAGTGATTGTGATCCATGCTCTGCCGAGCCAAACAGCCTCTTGCCTGATGAGACCTTAAGTGTAGTTTCAGGACAAGCTAGGAGCCAGGATGGTTTGTAGTGTCAAATTTCTCTGTAGGTCCTGAACAGAAATGGCAGGAGGGCATGAAGATGTTTCCTCAGAACTATACAAAGGGAGTCCCAAGAGAATAAGCCCTGCGTTGACAGTGAAGTGAGAGCAGTAGACAAAAAAGACTTGGAGAAGATATTGGGCAAGAGCACGATACATTGGCAGAGCAGACTGGGAGATATTATCCTTGCAGCCTGTCCTGTCAACACATCATCCTTGTCAGTTCTAAAATTCAGGTCAAACTCCATGAAGAGATAGCAAAAGAAATTGCACTGTAGTGATTCATTAGTTCTGCTTACAAAACTTGGAGAAAATGTGACTTCTAAATTCAGACAATACATCAAAATTTCAGCCTCTGCCAGGGACAGTTGTGTCAGGCTGGCCAGATGGCAGGATGGCAAAGCAAGCAAACCATCCACTGAGGTCCTGCAGCAACTTGGGGAAGCACAAGATATCTGTGTACAGACTAGAGAAGGAAAAACAGCATCTGCAGGTGCACCAGGTACACCAAAGGAGATGGTCATCCACTTACTGAGGAGATATGACTCCTTCTTGCCTGGAAGTGCTCGCCACTCCTGAGCCAGCCCTCTCCCAGGCTCCTTCCCTCCACTTTGGTAGCATTGCAACTTTACTCAGCCTCTCCCTGGGGATTCTAAGAAAATGATGAAGTGCACAATATTCCTAAGCTTTCAGCGTTTTGTTTTATTTAATGGGCTCCAGTGGGAGCTCCTATTAATCCACTCTGGAGAGAAGAGCTTTTGTTGTTGTTACTGTTGTTGTTTCTGTTGTTTGCCCCCTTCTGCCTGAGGCAGGTCATGAATTATGTGTCTGACGTTTTTCCTCAGCCCCTGGACTTCCCTCTAATGTCCCACAGGGGCCCATTAAGACCTTCCTTGCCACATCCCTCCAGAGAAAGGCCAAATGCTGAAGTGGCATAGGCAGGGGAAGAGGGAGGCTCTTGTGGCTCAGAGAATAGCAGGATCTTTGGAGTTGTGCAGCAAGCCACCATTAGGATTTGGATAAAGGCAGGACATCTCTGTAGCTACAAGAGCCTGTGTGGATCTGCAGGGGGACTGAGATGCATAACTGCATGTCTGATTACAGGGCAGAAGTGTGTTTTGGGTGTCTTTCTTTCTCAAATTGCCCTCTGTATCATGGTATTTCCACTCATTTAGTTGCACAAGAACTTAAACTTCAAGGAAATGGGTGCTTTTGACCTGGAGCTGACAGCAGGTCCTTTTGTAGGATATAGCCCACAAACTACACACACCAAAGTTTACTACACATCCAAAGTTTAGCCCCAGCTGCTAAAGCTGCCTAAACCTTTGGGGCAGAAAAGCCCTAGTTTTGTTCCCCTAAGTGACACCTGACATAGCTGCATTTGTGTATTTTGAGTGAAATTATACAAGAAACCATCCCATCTGTTTCATAACCATAGAATTTTTAAATGTACTTCTGTATTTTCTAATGTGACAGTGACATAGACTATGAAAACTGGGTTACACAGGTGCTTCCCTTCCCTTCCCTTCCCTTCCCTTCCCTTCCCTTCCCTTCCCTTCCCTTCCCTTCCCTTCCCTTCCCTTCCCTTCCCTTCCCTTCCCTTCCCTTCCTTCCCTTCCCTTCCCTTCCCTTCCCTTCCCTTCCCTTCCCTTCCCTTCCCTTCCCTTCCCTTCCCTTCCCTTCCCTTCCCTTCCCTTCCCTTCCCTTCCCTTCCCTTCCCTTCCCTTCCCTTCCCTTCCCTTCCCTTCCCTTCCCTTCCCTTCCCTTCCCTTCCCTTCCCTTCCCTTCCCTTCCCTTCCCTCCTTGTACTAAGATAGAAAACTTTCTGTAGTAGTGTGCCAACCTGGCTTCTCTTCAAGTGCTCTCTCTGCTTTTTATCCATAAAATTACATACTGGAAAGTCCCTCTAAAGAACATAATCAGCTGAGGCTGCAGAGTCAAGTACTGGAAAGCTAAAGCAATGCCAGACTTAAGATTGCTTTTGCTCATACATTAAGCGAAAAACGCATTAGGATGTACTAAAGACTTTTGGAGAAGTTTGGACTCTTGCAGTAGGTGGAAGGATCTGTTTCACAAGCAGGACTGATAAATTAACTGAGAAGTGATTTATTTGCATGAACTATCCCTCACCCGTGGTACCAAAATCCCCTTCCCTCTGTTGATTTTGTCCATTTCTGTGTCCTCTACAACTTCCAGGAGGCAGTAAAACCACAGTGTCTGTGGCACGCGACACAGCACTCTGCAGCAGACAAGGGAAGAGGAGGAGGCAGATAGGGATTTAGTTCCCTGGTTCAGACAACCTCTGAGAGGGATGAAAGAGCATTTTTCAGCCCAGAAGGCAACAGAGGAGTTTTGAGCCTGACACTTGTGTTCAGGAGCTTCTAGATGGATCACAGCTCTCTGTGGTTTGTTCATGGCTTATTCAGTCTCCTTTGGTGATGAGCTGTCAGTCACTGCCAGCAAGGCACTGAAAAAGAGCTATAAAAGTAGTACTATTTTCTGACCCAGTAAAGGTTTACATGGACAATCCTAAGGAGAAAAGAAAAATTTACCCACCCCAGGTCAACAGAGGGCAGAGCAGCTGAACAATGCATGGCCAAAGTAAGGCAATGAGAAGCCCTCTTGCCTACCTAAAGTGAAATCTGGCTGTGGACAGGTGAGAGCTGTCAGGGGCAGCTAGTACAGATGCTGTCCCTCTCCCCTCACACCTGTCTAGACTACTGGCAATGTAACAAAGTGGTGAGTTTCCTCACTGGCTAAATACTTAAGCTTATTCACACCTTATGTTGTCAAAAATAAAACTAATTTGCTGAAATGTTCCGTTTAGTTCTATTATTATGGGAGTAAGCTTTGAAAAATGAAAATGTTTTCAGATTGTTGGTGTTCTTTTTATGAACTTTATGAAAACATCATAAAAAACAAACAAACAAACAAAAACTCTACCACCTTCTGTATTTATTTATGAAAAAAGTCCCTTTAATTTCCCTTTAGCTTTAGGTACAGACCTTCCCTCTGCTGGACACTGACAGCAGACTCAAGCAGATGTTGCTCTATCCTTGACATGCACGCTGAAATTCCATCTTTCCCTCATAGCCAGGAGGTATAAAAGCATTTTTCAATAATGAAAAGAGAGATGTTGTTGTCACCAAAGCAGAGCTGGAGCCCCAGACACATGCCTATGCATTAATCTATCATGGGCATCATGTATATTTGTTCCTCCTGGCTCTTGCAAAAGCAGGTAGAGACTTGGATGTGCTTTAGCCACAGGAACTTCCCTGCAGACATCAGATACTAATTGCAATACCTATGCTGTTGACATGACTGGGTAAATATACAATACCATCATTGTCAGCTTTGTTTTTGTTTGTGTGTTTGTTTTACAAATAATTTCTAAATTTGGTTTACATGCTAATACACCAGTGGTAGAGACAAGATGAGGTTGAGAATCAGTTCATAATTACCTATCACTTTCTATTTTGGTTAACAGGTTTCTTTTACTCACTCGAGGAACCACTGAAGAACATGGAGTGCAAACTCATATTACTTCACATCTCCAAATCCTGTCACCTTTAAATCAGTGCTTGTTAATAATACAGGTAAGCTCTCACTTAACTAACAATAGTGATACAGGAAGGTACATCTAGCTCCCATTTCATATCCTGACATTGGTTGTTAGGAAGTGTTGCTAAATACATAAAACTCTACTGCCAAGGACATTAAAAGGAATTTGAATGCTGGATTCAAGCAGCCTCCTGCATATAGCTGAAGATCTATAATTTCACTTAATCATTTAACTAAAGTTGAAACATTAGAAAGTTCCTTTGATTGATATGGCAGTTGGAACAAGTTTGCAGCATATCAGTGCTTCTTCATTAATAACCAAGTGTTAGAACTACCAAATGCATCTGAAATATTCATTTTCTGCAACTGTATTTTAAATTCAAGCATTCTGAAGATGCACAGTTTGGACTTGGGGTTTAAAGCTTTTAATAGAGATATCACATTTCAATAAAAATCCACCTCAGGCACAACAAGCGAAATGGCTAATATTCAGTTAGCTCCACCTTAATTTATCAAGGCTATGCAGCACTAAAAAGATTGCATGCACACACACAAACATAGTCATACGTAGCCAAGAACTGTTTTCTCTTGGTAATGCAAAGTAATAGAGATACAGATGGCATAATACAATTCACAAAAAAAATGTAAGACAGCTGGCACTGAATGTGTTTGAAATAGGGTAGTGAGCATACTGGGAGGATGTAATAGAGTAGAGGATGCGACAAGAGACCATGTCAGTGCAGACTGTGCCCAAGCCAATGTCCAGCAGAGCCAATGTGCCCCATGTGACTGTGCAGCACCATGCAGATGACCTGTCTGGATGTACAAATAGCATATCTGTTCATGTGGAGCATCCGCAGGTGACTCTGCACAGTTAAGATCCAGCTTGGGTAATAGGCATGCAGAGAATCAATGAGAGCTGCAGCATAATCTCTTTATTTCCTGATTCACCATCAGAAAAGATGCTCTCAAACTTCCAGAAAAACCCTTCCACAAAAATCCTTCCATTAAGACATTTTTACCACGTGTCACTGAGTTAATCACATCCAGAACACTTCAGTTCAAAGAAATGCAAGTCTCTGTGGACCTGCAAGACTCTTTTTTTTTTTTTTGTAACAAAAAAGACAGGCAAACAATGTCTTAAACGTCATGTCCAAGCTGGTTGTTTAACCTGACTTGTGTCTGCCGGCTGGCAGTTGCTTTTTAGTGCTAATGGCCAGCTTCTCCTCCCACTTCTGTCTCCACAGTGAATTGTTGACAAATCTTTCCAGCAACCTTTTAAAAGACCAAATGCATACAAAGTGTTTTAGAGTGAGAAAGAGAGAGACGGTGAGAGAATCTACACAGGCTTGTGGCTGTGATAAGTGCAGTTTGAGAGTATTTTTATTTTCTTCCAGAGAGAAAGAAGGGGTTGGGTGGGGGAAGGAATGACTACAAGCATGTGTTTAGCTACCTTCTGCATGACAAAACACGGCCAACAAATTATCTGCCTACTTTTTTATGTTCGTGCAACCAAGATTCTTGCCTAGGGTGCTGGCTTAGTATCTCTGGACCACAGCTCAAGTGCTGGATTTCAAGTGCACTGAAGACCTTTACATGTGGAGGAAGTCACGCTAGTGCACCTTCTGCATTGCTCATGTAGGCTTAGTTCATGGCTGACAAAATCAGTAGAGTTTGACTCAAATTAATAGAGTACAGTGGGAACATTTGAGGGTACACAATCAAAAGGAGCGGATCCATTTGCAATTTGTGCAGTGTACCTGAATCTCATGGTGACTGGCCTGAAATGCTAATCAGGTCAGGTTTTGCTTTTTTGGCTTATAACTGCAAGTTTTACAAGGCTTTCTGATTGAGGATGATTTAATGCCTCATTTGGCACCTGAAGTTTCACCCACACCAAACAGTGTTTGTACTACATCAGAGGAAAGGGGAATGGCTCTGTGTCTGCACAGCCCTTCCTCCACATCATGGCTGCACTCAACCTTGCAATAGGTCTTCTCTATGCACAGCTGATACATGTAGCCTTCAGACCAATAGTCTGCAGTCACAAATACAGATTGGAAGCTGTGGATTAGGAAATATGCTCCAAATGCATGTGATGAAATTTTATACTAATGTGTGGACTGCAGATGTATTATTCACTGGATTTGTAGTCTGCATTTGCCTAATTCTCCTAAATGTAGCTTCCACCTGGACTCCTCAAGGCACTAGGCTGAGATTACAGAGCACTTTAGCACTTAAGAACACCCTTGTGCTAGGTGTTGTACAAGTACAGAACAAGGAAACACTTTTGAATGACGAGAGGTGCCCAATGAATGTAGTGATGTTATGAAAATAAAAATGTTACAGAAATCTTGTTATGTCTTCATGCTGTCCCTGGTGGAATGGGCTGCACTGAAATGAGCTAAGCCATAGCTGTAGTTTGACCATTTATACCTGAACTTCCTTCTAGGTGCATCATGTCAGCACCATGTAGTGCACAGATGTATAGGCTAGCTTCAAACACATAGGTTTGTGCAGGTAGTATTGTTCTGAACTTTGCTTTGCTGAGATGCTGTTTCTAAGACCCCTGGAAACACCTGGGTTAGCACAGTATTCCAAACAGGCTACTTAGTTTTACTCCAAGGAGTGTGCCTAGTGAATGAGTTATCTCTTACAGCATTGGCTCTTGTACGAACAACACACAATGCTGCCCACAAAGAGGGAGGTGAACCCTCAGTTCTCCATGCCCTCTCAGAGCAAGTGAAGAAAAAACTAGAAAGCTACTCCTTTTTTTTTTTGGCATTTCTGTCTGCAGTGTACACCACAGATAGCTAGTCTGCCAGCAGCTAACAGCATGCTAACAAAAGCCCTAAGCTCTGAGTTATGGTAGAGAAGTTCCCAGACAAAAAGAACTACCATGTTAGGGTCCTGGGTTCCTCGCTCATTACCTATTCCTCTTCAAGAGCTCCCAGTTCCATTTTTTCCACCCACCTCCCTTTGGGAAGAGCAAACAGGATTTATTTTTTTTCCCTGTAAAAGTATTCATCTCCTGCTGCTGCTGGACTCCACATAAGTTCCACAGCATTGTGATGGTGCCACGGCATGGGAAGGGATTACAGCAGTGAGTGCAGCGGGGAGTCACTGGCATTACTAGCAGGAGTTGGAATCGGGAACTGTACCACTACCGCACCCCTCTCCAAAAGCTTCAAACTTTAAGCTCCGGGAGCGCATCCTGCACTGCCCGTGATATCTAGGAACTTTATCTCGCAGCCACCTGGCCCCCTAGCCAGGCAGCCTCCTTCCCTCCCTCCGAGCGGTCTGTTTCCTGCTCCCTCCCTCATTAACACCGAGGCGTGGTTGTTACCGTGACCGCGCCGAGCCGGCCACAGGGCGGCCATGTCCACCGGCGGCCGCCAGAGGGCGCCGTGCACCCGGCCGGGCCCCGGAACGGCCGATGGGCTGGTCCGAGCCCTGCCGCGCCCAGGCGGGGGACGAGGGAGCCGGGGCGCCCGCGGGACTCCGCCCGCCGCAGGGGCGCGAGGACCTTGTCCGGGAGACCTGAGCGGGAAGTGGAAAATTTCCATGTCGTCCCCCGCTGGGGTCAGGAGGCACGGCTCCTGGAATGGACAAAAGTAGACGGGGAGAAGGTGTGGATGAGCGCTATCTAGCAACTTCTAGATGTCTCTAGAAGCAGCAGGGGGGCAGCCATATGGCTTGGGTACCCCAGAGCTGTAGGGTGGTGTAGGGACTGTCAGGGTGTCCTGGTGCTTTAACAGGTTAGGAGGTAGGGGAAGTTTCATGGCAGCTGCAGGTGGTTGGTGTAGTTCCACAGGCACTACTCAGCATGCCACTAAACCCTCTCTTTCAAAAGTAGTTGAATAGTGAATTGGCATAGCCGGCTGCTGACATAACATTATTTACAGCAGTCAAAACTAAAACTGTTTGTGAAGGCTTGCAGAAGGAGCCTGAAATACTGAGTGATTGGGTAATAAAATGGCAGATGAAATTCATTGTCAATAAATGCAGACTAATGCATATGGAGGAGAACAACCTTAACTGTACGTGCACAGTGATGGACTCTAAATGAGCTATTACCACTCAGAAGACAGATTTTAGAATCATTACATATAATTCTTCCTAAACATCAGCTCAAAGCTAGCAGTGGTCAAAAAGACAAATGGAATATTAGAAATTATTAGGAAAGAAATGGAGAACATAGTAAAAAACATTCTTTTTGTTACCATGCAGACCTGTGCTGTGTTCTCTTCTTGAATGCTATATACAGTTCTGGTCTCCTGTTAGGAAAAAAAAAAAAAGGGCAAAAAAATCTTGAGGTAGGTGCGGAAAGTACAGTATTAGAAAATTTATAAAGAGGGTGACAAGGTTGACAGGAGGGAGGGAACAATTTATTAGACAACAGGTTTAGTAGAAGTGCCATAGGTATTCAGGAGACAATGACAGTGTGGAGCTCGTTGCCATGGGAAATTTTGAAAGCCCCAACTGTAATGAAATTAAAACAACAACAACAAATAAAACTGAGGGCATTAGGCCAACCAAAGGCTAAATTTTTGGAGTGATGCAGTTACAATTACAAGCTCAGAGCTCAGGAAGTAGTGTAGTTTCTAGCTCCTGGAAATGTATATTGGGATTGGGGTAATCACTCTATCCCAGCACTACTTCTAAAGTTCTCTCTGGTTTTTTTTTTTTTTTTTTTTTTTTTTTTTCTTTCCCATTTATTTATTTATTTAAAAATTTTATCTGTTGGGCTGCATAGACCTTTGCCTTGAACCAGCATGGGCATACTTATATTATTATGCTACAGATACAGAAAGATTTTGGTCCTAAGGAAAACCAATGGCAGAATTCATTGATTTAAAGAATAGGGAAATCAGTTCTGCCACTAGCTGGGTCATGTCTCACTGTGCGAGGTGTTGCATTGATTGAAGCAAGACTGCTGGCACAGCATGAGCAGCTTATAAGAGGTAGCTTTGAGCTACGCAGAAAGTATCAGTGACTAAGAGTGGGATTCATTTCAGCTAACTTTAGCTGGTGTTAAGAGCTAGGTGCTTATTCTTTAGGCAGCTGAGGTACTTCTTCCTGTCGCAGTATTTCCACAGTATCAGATTTGCCAAAGGAAACAAGGAAAAAACACATATCATGTTCCCAGAAAGAAAAGCAATGAAAACATTAAGTCACCTCGGCTGCTTTTCAACACCTGAAATAAGAAATTAATATGGTGGGGTATGGACATCTTGGGGTAAAGACATGAAGTAAGAACTTGATTTCCCCAACAAAAATAAATGAGACACTTTGCTATCGGCATGTAACAGAGTACAGATGTAACAGATGTCTCAGAGACAGGACAAGTGAATAAAAGACCAGAAATAGTATTTGCATTAGAAACATAAATATTTTAGTTTGGTACAGGACTACAGAATAAGTATCCCCCTTTAGGATATTAGTGAAATGCTGGAGAGTTGCAACTGCTTTTTCTAGCCAGGGTTGCATCCCCAGAAAGAGCTACTAGTGAGGAAACAGGAAGTAGTACTCCTCAGAACTGGGTCCTAACTACTAGAACAAGCATTATTTAGATCAATAGTAGACCAAAGCAAAGCAGAATGTTGCAGAAGACAGTACAAAAGAAAATATACTTGGCAGGAAGAAGGGGAGTAGGTCTGGGGGTTGGTAATCAGGATCTGTTCCAAGGATATTGAATCTCTCTCTTTTTTTTTTTTTTAATTGCTTATGTAGTGGCTGGTCTCCAGTTCTTCCCCTTGCAGTGAGACTTTTTTGTTTGCAAGAGAAAAGCATAATGGATCAGACGTTTGAGTAAGTAATGAAAACCTAGCATATTTGTTCCAGAAACAATTACGAAAAATGGCAGACAGCATTTTAAAATCCTGAAAAACTTAACAGCTTAGGCATGTGAAGTGCCCCATTCTCCCATTCTCTCCAAATCTCAAGCCTTATTTACTTTGTTTTTAAATGGCCATTCAGTAAAATTTTGTTGTTGTTTGTTTGTTTTGGGGGAATAAATATATATATACTTATTTATATATTTATAAGCAGAAAGGAAAGTAAAGGGATAATCTTTTCAGAGGTGAGTACATAGGGCCTGCCAGTCAGCTGGTTTCTTTGGTATACTCAGTTAGTTCATATTTAGTTCATAGTTCATAATTATCATGTATTGCAGTGGTGCTTAGCAGCTGCCACTGAAATTGAAGTTCCCTTGTGCTGGATCTGTAAAAACATGAAGGAAGAGTCCTAGCTTTGAAGCCATCAGAGCTTAACTAGATAAGAGAAGCCATGACAGTGAGGAGGAGACATGCCTCCACAGTTTAATTTCTTTGACTAGCCTTTTAATTTGTAAAGGAACATCCGCCCAAAACAGTGCTTGATTAGAAGAAATCTCTGGCCAAGCTAGTGCCTTGAAACAGTCCAGGGCAGTACTTACCACACAGTGACCCTAGAACAAGCTCCAGATCCAGAAAATGCTTACAAATGGGGTGCTGTACCTGTACCAAGTCCCTCTTGTGACCCAGGCCAGTATGGGAGAGCTGACATGCTGGTGTGGTTTCTACCTCTACAGCAAGTCTGTGGAGAATTGGCAGAAGCACCATCACCCATCTTGCCTGGAGTGATAAACATGCACCTGAACCAGCCTACATGTCCCAAATGAAGAAGTCCCCTGTACACCTTAACCACAAATGTGGGCACATCTAATTGTTTGCCATTGGAACAGTAGAACATAAGCTCTAGGAAGAAATCATACATATTTTTTTTCAGTGTATGTTGGTTTTAGCTACACTTATTGTTTCTATATGGTTTCTGGGTATCACGTTCTTTTTGTTAAAAAAAGAAAAAAAAGTTGCCATTAGTGCTCAATGTTATTGCAATATGATTGTAATGCATGCATTAACAATGCATAGGTAGATTAGATATTTAACATTCAGTTGTAGTTCTGGCACAGTTTGAGGGCATGAACTGTAGCCAAGAATATATGGATTCTTAAAACTGTTTCCTGTGCTAAATCTCAGCATCAGCCTGTCCATAAGTAATGAGGAGAAGGACGATGTAAAATAATGGCATTGTTCAAATTGTGTCACCTCTCCCTTCCCCACATTTTTTAAAGAAATGTATTGCAAACATTCATAATGAACCCAGCTATCTTTCTCATGTCTTTCTTTCTTCCTCATCCTGATGGAATCAGTGCTCTATATTACTCTTTAGATTCAAGAGATTATAGCAATCTTCTCTGTTTTTTCATTAGTTGAGCTGATTCTGTGCAAAAGCTGTTTAAGATTCATGAATGATTTTGCCTCTGCAAAGAATAGGAATGCAGCTGAGGGGGGAAAAAAAAGAGAGATGTCCAATATTCCATTTTGACCATGGGATACTGATGAGAAACATGTACACAATTAACTTACAGTGAAATATAACAATTTATTCCTTCAAGACTGTTCCCACAAATTGTGGTGTGCTCAGGTCACTGCATCCAAGCCACTTGCATGAGCAGAGTGTTGATGTACAGGCATACTCATGCTTTACTGGGTCTCTGTGGAGACAAGCTCCCAGCTTATGTCCATACATTTTCCCCAAACTTGGACTGTTTAGGTCTGTGGTTTCTGCTGCTAGGCAACATTGTTCCAGGCCAAAGTTTCTTATTGTCTCATTGCAGAAACCTTGAAGACAGGACAAATCTCCTGTTCTGTTGGTTGTTCATCCTGAAAATGGGAGGGAGATGGATCTCCTGTCTTCCCACAGGTCAGCTAAATAGGTGGTCCTGCCTGGGGCATGTGGTATGGGTGCCTGGCCAACTCTCCATACTTCAGCAAAGGGTGGACTTGGCCTTGGTAATTCATAGGCCTCATGTCTGCCTACGGTTCACACCTCTGAGTGGATGCAGAGATCATTTTAACTAAGTAATAGTAGGCTTATTGTCATAGACATCTCATAGCAACAAGAACAGGATAAGTAAAAAGGTTCCTACTCTACTGGGCTTAAAGGTTCCAGTTACAACAGTCCAATGTGGTGCAGTACAATGCCTTTGTGCCTCCTGATCCTCCAGGCAATAGGAGAGACTGATGTGAATGATTCACACATTCTAGATCTGTTCAAGAGACCACCGCTCCCAGTACTGTGTAATGTCTGCTTCTCCACCGAGGCCTGCTTGTCAAAAGTGTTTGCAAATAACACAGGTCTATCCTCCCTCCAAGCTCATCCTATTTCTGTAAGGAGTGTAGCACTGAACAGATAGTCTGAAGTATTACCTTCAGGCTTATGTTTAGGTACATTCATTACTCTCATTACTTCATTACTTTCTTGGATCAGGGCCTTAGCACCCTGCAGTCACCAAGTGAACAGCCCTAATGTGAAGCCAGTGCCAGCTCTGAGTGGCTAAGCAACAGAACTGGCACATTATATTGATGCTATCTTCTTCATTAAGAAAGATGATTCGAATATCATTATTTCTTGAAAAGCATCCAGCCTGTGAAAAGATTCAGACACTGTTGATCAAGTTACCATGGATTTCTTTTGAGACATTCAAGCTATTAAGAACAAGAATGTTTTGTCTGAAATGCTATACAGAAACCTACCGATAGAAATAATCACTTGCTAGCTGTTACCTTTCATCTTTTGTACACGAGTAGAAGTTTACCATGTTTCTAATTAAAGTGAATTAGATGAATTTGTCCTAGCAAATCAGGGCATTCAGAGCATAAATGTTTTCTAGAAAGGGAGGAGTGAAAGGGTCTTCAAACAGAGTCCAGATGAAAAGATTGTGAAGATGGACAGACATGAGTCGTAAAGAAGGGGTACTGTAGGTGTCCTTCATACCTCTGTTTAATGTTTTATCTTCTTGTACAAAGGAAATTAGTAACATTGTACCACCGGCAGTAGCACATCTTCATTTGAGAACATAACTTATTGGAGCTTTTTAAAGAACTACTCACAAGTGCATATAATGGGGATTGAAGCCTTTGAGGCACTCTGGAACATGTAGGGTCTATCAGCCACAAAAAGGTCATTTCTGCAAAGCTTCCCAGATAACCTCTGGAACACAACTGTACTATAGAAGTAATTATTTTTGCTATGTGTTGCCAATAAAACAAAGAGGGACTAATCTCAAAAATGTATATGTGCTTTGGTTCTCATTTACAAAAAAAAAAAAAAGCTTTTTACAAACTGTAGTAGTGTAAAATTGATGAAGATGTGAACAAAATTTAAGGAAGTGGGTCAAGAGAAGCAGTGGCTCTCCAAGCTGTGACTAAGAATTTACGTGGGATTGGTAAATGCTATAAGCAGACCTGCAGACCCATCAACCATCCTCCCTCTAAATCTATCCCTGATGTAACATCAAGGAAAAATGTAAAAAGAAAATAATATTTACTTTCACCTTAAGGTCCTACTTCATTGTAGGGATAATGGAAATAAGAATCAACGTCTTCACACATGAAAGTGATACTTGTTACTGTAAGCCTTTGCCCTGTCTTCCTCAGGGTTATGAGGAGTAACTGTGCCTGGTAGCACAATTGCAGAATCTCTCTCTGAAGCTGTTTGAGGTTTCAAAATTGTTTCAATCCTTCCCCAGGTTTTGAGAAAGGTTAACACAAATATCTCCTCTTTAATTTTTAATCTAGAGGACACTTAAATGCTGAAACTGAGAAAAGCCCAGATTTCACTCACCTCTCTGAATGCAGCTTGCTCTGGGGCAGAATACAGTCACTTTTTAACAGGCTGTAACACAACTGCTTAATTGGCTGGGGCAGGACAGGAGGTGACTGAAAATGTGAGAATGACTCCTTGGTGAATGTTCCCTCCCCCTCTTTGTGCTGGGGAAGAATCAGTAAGTCTATTGCAATTCCTTGGAAATCAAAAAACTGCAGAGGACAAGCTGAGGCAGAGAAAGAGGAGTCACGTTTCTGCACGTCACAAAGGAGACTTAGAGATTCATTATTTAAGCTGGTATCTTCCCACTGGGACTTGGGGAGAATTATGACCTGCCCTCACTGAAAGCAAGGTGACTTAGCTAATTTCTTCTGTTTCTTGTGGACTGCACTTCCTCCCACACTCCAGTTCTCCAGCTTCGTCTGCTTATATTAGTGGGAGTTCCCAAGTTCTCTGCAGCCGGGCTTCACTTGATGAGGAAGTTGCTGGTATGCTTCATGCATCACTAGGCCTAGCTCCGAAAGGACAAGGATGTGGAGATTGGGTTGTCTCTCACATGGGTCCTACTATTTTGACTTGTCACCCTTTTGACACATTGCTAATAGCAAACACTTCATGGCAGCATCTTCAAACAACTCATGTTAGGGAAAGGGGAGAGAGGAGAGAGTCAACCCGGATCATCTCCTAAATGAGAAGGGCTACAGGATTTGCTGTTCAGTCACGCACTGAAAGAGAACGTGTGGCAGGAGTGCAAATCCCAAATGACTTTTGCTGCACAAAAATAGTGTATCTGGTGTTTTTGACAGCTGTTGAGCTTTCTGGATTATGTGTACCATCCAGGTAATGCTGCCACACTTCTGAATGGGATTTCCTGGATGGGAACATGCCACATGTAAGGAGCTAGGCAATCCCTTGTATTATCACTTCTATTATACCTCAGGTCCTGGTAGAAGCAGGAAAATCATGAGATCAGCATGCCAGGCTCATGGTGATGACCAGTGCAGTGTCCTGCTGTTTGTTTGTTTGTTTTCTTCAGCACCACAAAATAATTAATTAGATGTGAACTGGCTTTTTGCCTTTGTTCTGCACCTGAACATTTTAATTCTCCTCCTCCTCAGCTCCCAAGCTGCTGCCTGTTGGCTGTTCATCCTTGCCTTTCT